GCAGCCCGCATCACCCTTTTTGACCCAACCGAGTTTAAAACTCAGTTTGCTTGTGAAATAAAGAACTATGATTCTCTGGATCATTTTGATCGAAAAGAAGGCCGTAAATTGGATCGCTGTGCCCAGTTGGGAATTATAGCGGCCAGAGAAGCGGTAACTCACAGTAAAATATTAGACTTAGATGGTCTGAATAAAGATAGGGTTGGGGTAATTTGGGGATCGGGAATCGGTGGCATTCAAACATTTGAGGAAGAGATTGTATCGTTTACCGAAGGTGGATTTAAACCCCGATTCAATCCGTTTTTTATTCCTAAAATGATTGCGGACATCACTCCAGGCCATATATCCATGGAATATGGATTTAGAGGCCCTAATTTTGCCACCGTTTCGGCTTGTGCTTCTTCTACCAATGCCATCATCGATGCCTATAACTACATTCGATTGGGCAAGGCCGATGCCTTTGTGGTTGGTGGCTCTGAAGCGGCCATTACCCGTGGAGGCATCGGTGGGTTTAACTCAATGCACGCTCTTTCGGTTCGTAATGATAGTCCACAAACAGCCTCTAGACCTTTTGACAAAGGCCGCGATGGATTTGTTATGGGAGAAGGTTCGGGTTGTTTTGTATTAGAAGAATACGACCATGCCGTGGCTAGAGGGGCCACCATTTACGCCGAAGTTATTGGAGCGGGTATGTCGGCCGATGCCCATCATTTGACCGCCCCACATCCCGAGGGAATTGGAGCCTATAATGTAATGAAAAACGCATTGGATGATGCGGGAATATCAGTTGATGATGTGGACCATATCAATATGCACGGTACGTCAACGCCGTTGGGTGATATTGCCGAGTCAAAGGCGATTGTTAAGTTGTTCGAATCCAGTATTGATCGCATTGCCATCAATTCTACCAAATCTATGACAGGCCATTTGTTGGGAGCTGCAGGCATTATAGAGTCGATCGCTTGTGTTGGGGCCATTATGCACAATGAAATTCCGCCCACCATTAATTTGGAGGAAAG